CGGCGAAAAATGCGTTTGGCCGCCCTGGCAAATTCGTGGCAGATAATGCTGAGAATGCTGCGCCTGCCAGTGATTTTGAACAACCGATTAGCAAAAACACCACTGTCAAATACGCGATAAGGCCCTACTACTACTACTACTACTACTACTACGACGACGGCTACTGCTACAGCTACTACAACTACAACGACATACACCTGACAGCGAGTCGGTGGGAAAAAACGGCCCACTGTGCAACCACAACCGTCAGTCGAAACATGGCGAACCCTGCACAGCACGTCATCGCTCTAAAGACAGAGCATAGCGGCATAGCGCATGTCTAGAGCACGCAACTGTGACACGTGCAAGCACCTCCCCAGGAAGCAGTAAGGTTTGAAGGGTGCATGTAAGACGTTGCAGATGAGATGAAGCTGCCAACTAATCTTACATTACATCTTGACCGTCCTCGTGTAGATCACGAAGAGCTCGTGAAGCATCGAGCGCTAGCTCCGTCAGGACTGTGCCAGCCTGGTCTTCGCAGCTTGCAAAGGCACCACTCTAATTCGGCTTTTGCTGTAACTGTGAGGCGCACCATGCTGGTGCAGGAGATGCGCAGCATCCGTGGCATTGCAGTCTCTGCCAGCATGGCCGGCGCTCGGTCTCTTTGTGGCGGGCCAGCCTAGCCACTCGGAGAAGCCAGTGTCTGAAGGCCAGCGAAAGAACAGATCAACATCGCAAACGGCTCTCGGCGCCACCTTCTCAGCATGCCACTCGCTCAGCGGACATTGGAGCTCCGCGCGCAAAGTAACCACCTGGCAATACAGATGGCGCGGCAGAGAACATTCGCATTTCGTCGCTGTGCATCCTGCTATCATGGCCGAGCCTTCCTAGGCGCTCTGTTTCGCTTCAGCAGAGCCTGACTTCCACAAAGACGCGCGCCAAACCGCTAAACTTAAACGAAAGAGCAAATGCGTGAGCTTCTGAGCTGCCAGTCAACTCAAAGCAGAAGCACTTTTTCGAATCCGCGTATGTGAGGAGCTTGAGATGTGAAGTCTCTGACTTCTTCCTAAACTAGCTTAAACATCCTTAAACTAAGGTTCTGTACAAAGTGAATACGCCATTAAGCAGGTGCTGCTCAAAGATCAATTCCATGAGGGTGCCCCCCATCCCTGACCATCCTGGCCACTCTCAGTCGTCTGCTGATACTGAGTATCCTGGTCAGTGCTTTGCTGCTGCCCCCAGGTGTCATCGTTCCGACCATTCTGGTTAGAATTGTCCTGCTGGGCCCAGGCACCATTTCCACCATTCTGATCTGCATTGTCCTGCTGACCCCAGGCACCATTCTCACCGTTCTGATCAGCGTTGTCTTGCTGACCCCAGGCGTCGTCCTTCCAGACGTTGTCTCCACTCTCTTGATTCCAATCGCCATCTGCAGTAGCACCCTTCCACCTACGACTGCGGACTGCTTAGAAGCTATCTCTAACATGCACGCATACATACAGGCATATACGTCTGTCTCGATTGGACATGCTAAAAACGACTTACAGCAACTGGGGATCCAACTGTGACCAGGCCGTGCGAGCATCCCTCGTGTCGTCTCCATCCTCCTTGGAGCCCCAAGCTCCTGTTGAGATGGTGGCGACCTTCTCCAGCAACCAATCCGGCACCTCTGTGTTTGGTGCTCCTTCCATAATGTTGGGCAACTCTTTCAGCATATCGTCAGTGTCCATCCACCAGCCAGAATCCATGGTAACAAAGCTGAAGGCTGTGCCACGGTGTCCGATGCGGCCAGTACGGCCAATTCGATGAACGTAGATGTCTGGCTCCTTGGGCAAATCGAAGTTCACGACATGGGAAACTTTGCTGATGTCCAGTCCCCGTGCTGCGACATCCGTAGCCAACATCACCTCGATCTTGCCTTCACGGAAAAGAGCTAGGTTCGACTCTCGCTTGGGCTGGTCCAGGTCACCGTGCAAGGCACCAGTCTTTGCAACCTCTTTGTCCCATAGGTATTCGTCCAGCGCTTTAACCTGGTTCTTGCTGTTTGCGAACACCAGCATTCGTTCATGGCCAGATGGTCGTGAGTTTGTCATCCAAGAATCAATCAGCTGTACAAGTGTGGTCAACTTCTCTGCCTTCTCGATCTTCTGGAGCACCTGACTGACTGTAGCAGCAGGGCTGCCAAGCCTCCCCACCCTGACAAAAAGGTGATTGTGCAGGTACTTCTCGGCCGTTTCCTGGATGAGCTTCGGAAATGTGGCAGAAAACATCATGGTCTGACGTTCGGTGCATCCGGGCATTCCCCGCTTTTCGACGAGCTCGCGAATGGTCTCTTCAAATCCCAGGTCCATCATGCGGTCAGCCTCATCCAGCACCAAGCAGTAAGTCTTCTTGACGCTGATAATTTCTGCTTCGACAAAATCGGCAAATCGTCCGGGCGTTGCCACGCAGACATCAGCCCCTTTGCAGAAATCACGAATCTGGTTCTCCCGCTTCTCCTGGCCATAGACACGGATCACTCGGTATGCCGTGCCATAGCAGAACCGGAGCGCATCATCATAGATCTGCAAAGCCAACTCTCTTGTTGGAGCCAAGACGAGTGTGTCTGGCTCACATGGACCTTCGAAGGGCTCTCTGAGTGCACCTGTTTCTCGATGATTTTTCATCATGCTTGAAAGCATGGGGATGAGGTAAGCTGCTGTCTTGCCACTCCCTGTCTGAGCACAACACATGACGTCACGCCCAGCAAGGCCAGCAACAACTGCAAATTTCTGGACAGGAGTTGGGTACTGGAACTTGAGAAGCTTCAGATTCTCTTCCAGCTGCGCAGGAATGTTGTCAAATCTTGACAACAACTCTTCAAATGTGTCGAGATGCGGCGGCAAGCTTTCCGAACCATCCCCCGTGACCTCAACTTCCACTGAATTGTACAGCTCGAAGCATTCACCTCTATCGCCTGACTCATCCAAGAACTTGGCTGGCGCGTTGTTCGTGTCTGGGGTGATACCAGTCTGTTTGTACCAATCCTGGCAGTCATAGTATTCCTTCCTGTACGTTGCATGCCGACGCGCGTTTGCTTCCTCAGCTGTTTCGGCAGGCTGCTGGCTTGTTTGCCATGAGTTGTTGCCCCATCCATCCGCCGGAGCTTGCTTCTGCTTCTGCCACGCATCCCAGGCATTGGGTTCGCTACCTTGGTCCTGGGCTCCACGACCTTGGTCCCACCAGCCGCCTTGATCCGCCTCAGTCTTGTCCCAGGCAGTCTGCTTGGAGTAGCTGTGGCCTCCGGCGTTCTGGTCCCAAGAATTGTCCGGCAACGCTTGCGGGGTTTGGGACGGATTCTGTTGGCTTGATCCTCCCCAAGGGTCTGAGGCATCCCAAGGGTCTGCGGCAGCTGGTTGCGCTTGGGAAGTTGAATCGTCCCAAGTATTCCACGACGCCATGTGAGGCGACAAAATCGGCACTATGTGCGCGAACTGTGCTCTATGCAAGCGGGTACTTGCATCAAGACACTGTGATGTTTCAAGGCCTGTATGGATGGCAGGAACAACTTCCGCCTAAATTGCTCTGTCAGTGCTGATCGAGCCAAGTGTCCAGTTTTGGTGCTGATTGCAGCGTTGGCCTACATGCGACACACGCATGGGCACGATGGACGCATTCGCCCAGCTTTTCAACACGTGCGCAGGCCGTCTTCCTTTGAATGCCGAAGCATCACCCGACAGGAGGGCGGCAGTCAAGCCGCGCCAGAATTCCACAACCTGTCGAGCAAAAGGCACACAGCTCTCAGTGGGCTGATTACCATTGGCTTATTTTGCCTGAAATGCTTCCTGACGATACCAGTGCCGCTGTGCCCGTGAGACATCCATCAGCGCCTTCGAACGAAGCAGTTCAGTTGATTGAGGCTGTGGCAATCAAATCAATCAGATCAATCCACACTTTCGGAGCTTTCGGAGCCTGAAGCGGTAAGCTCTGCAGAAGCGAGATGAGATGCGCTGCAGAATCCTGGGTGTCTAAGCACGCGAACAGACATGAATCGACATAACCTTTGCGTTCATGGCATCTGTTGGCCAGGAATCGAAATATATTGTGTACGGCAGCAAAGACATCTCACTCCATTGTGACCAGAATAGCGTGCCGTCCAGAGGTTGCAAGTCCCTCCGATCTATCGTGAACAGCTGGAATGGAGAGCGGCCAAAAGGTCCTGTCAGGGACATGCTAAGAACCGCGCAGCACGTCTGCCATCTGCAACACTGGGCAAAGCCTGTGTCGTCATCCCAAGTCGACAAAGCGCTCGCGCCTGGGTTTGATTCCAGGTGCAACTCAAGGCAATCCGAAAATGACAAAGACGCAGAGCAGCAACTGGATGCCGCTTTCTGGGGCGACGGCAAGGGTCATCATCGGGAAGGAAACCCCATGGGTCTTTGTAAAACGACTCTGGAAGAGATGGCATCAGCAGGTCCTGCGTCCAGCCCAGGATAAGAACAGTCAGCTGTGCTTGAAGTAGCTGATTAAGGCATCTAAGTATGCAGCTTCCAATGGCACTGTTTACAATTTGAGGGTGCAGGATTGGTGCAGGGAAGGCCGTGCAGTACATCATTCTGTCTGATTTTGTTACATTGAGAGCGGCGACAAACGAACTTGCAAATGATCACACCGGCTGTTGCGGGGATTTGTGGCCATAACTCTTTGCTTCATTTATATACAGGGAGCCGCTCGCGCTAAGTTTGCAAAAGGGCCATCCAGCCTCTGGCGCCTTCTATCCTTTGCTCAAGGCTAAACATGTTGGTGTCAAATGTATTCAGATGTAATATAATGCAAGAAATCTGTCTCGTCTCTTGGGCGAGGCTGTTGGGAGAAGGGCGGTTCCACTTTTGCGAATGTCATGTGAATCAGAATGCGGCCAACAACGCCAAAAGGAAGCCCTCATTTCCATTGTTCAATCGCCATGTCTCAGAATGTTCCACGTGAGAGCAATCTCGGTGGCAGCATGTGCAGCAGTACTTGATTGAATTCCTACTAGCGCGCCTGTGGGCTTGGAACCTAGCATGACTTTCTGTTTTGGCTCTTGAATGTCCTCCCCGTGCTTTGCATAGCAGTCTGCAGGTGGATGCCAGCGCTTCTCTGCAAAGATGGATGCATTGCGGCCAGCCGGCCGTGCAATAAGCTGGGACCAGCGGGTTGTCCACTTCCATAGCTGCGAATGCATAAGCACTGGCCTGGTACCACCGAGACCAGCAACCGCGTTTGCTCACGATGGCCAAATTCCTGGGGCCGCGGCATGCCCATGGCCTTGAACTCTGGCAGCTTGAAATGCGCAAAGTCATAGGGTGTGACAACAACACCTCGCATGCAAGGATGCAGCTTCTGCTGCAGTCCTGCGAGTTGCGATTGATGAGCACTCCAGATCCAAGGCACATCGAAGCTGCGCCAGTTCCGACTTTGGTGTCTCATAGGTGAGGCCGGGACGCTGCTCCAAGCTCTTAGCCTTGCAGGCGCATTCAATCCATCGCGAGGCTGCCCCTCTGCAGGTCCAGAATTGGTTAGAAGGTCCAAGATTTTTTGGGCAATTCTCCCGACCAGTCCATGCAACCAGGTTTCCTACATCACTACGTTGGCCAAGCAGCATCCAGGCCCCACTCCAGGAATTGCAGCTGCAATCCGCTAGGATCCTGAATGATGCTCAGTCTATGCTAAGTTGCGAAGCGCTGCATCAGCATGGCGCTGAGGGCAGTTCTGTCATTGTGTTCTCCTCTGCATAGCGAAAGAATATCCCTGTCAGGATAAGTGAGGCACATGATCTTACAGTTGCAACAATGACCTCGTACTGAACATTAATGTGGCACCTGGTGAGTCCTTGCGAGCTCCTGGCCTATCGCTTCTCTGTCGATGGATGTCGAGACCAGCACAGAGTCTGGCCGTAGCGGTTGCCAAACCTCTTTCACCACCAAGGCTATTGGGCGGCTGTGTGGGATCTTGCCTTCGATCAACAAGCGCACACAACAAGCACAACAAGCCAATCAGCCGAACACTCGAGTCACCGACTTGCTGTTGCTATCCACTTTTTATCATGAGCACGGCCAAGCTTCGCCCAAGTAACCATTCGAACTGGCGGCTGAAGAAAGGACCAAAGCCTTTGCAAAAAGGGTAGGCAAAATCACCTTCTTGGAAACTGCCATGAAGCCCCTACCCGCTTCAACATTACCTCTCCCTTAGTAAGACTGCTGCTGCTGCCGATGCTCCTCCTCCTACTACTGCTGCTGCTGCTGCTACTACTACTACTACTACTGCTACTACTACTACTACTACGACTACTACTACTACTACTACTACCACCGCCACTCTTACTCTAACTTTTACTCTTACTCTTGCTACTTCTACTTCCACTGGGGATGAGGGTCGGGCCCGGGGCGGACGAGATTGGGTGGGGGAGGGGGGTGGGATAAACATCCATTCGAAGTGCGCATTTGCAAGAACGAGGGTAATTACGGCATTTGTGACGCTTTTGCTTGGGTGAAGCTCGTTCGATCACGTTCCACCGCAACCCTCTCCTGCTCAGGCTCCTGAAGTGGCTACTACTGTGGATGGAGGAAATCTTGCACCACCTGCATAATAAGCGTTTT